TGATGGATCTGGATTTTATACTCGAAACTAAAAATAAAAAATAAAAAATGAAATTTTGATTGGAGGTTGTGATGATTAGAATGACTTTGTTGTTATAGAAATGGCTTGAAACTTTTAGAAATGTAAAGCAAAAGGTTGGGTTTATCCTTTTTTTCTGGATTCTACTGCAGCAAAAAAAGTCAGTCACTAATTTTTTCCCCTTTATTTCTGCATTTCTCTCTTCTTTCACTTTCTTAATTTTTATTTCTACTTGTATTTTATCTTACAATAATTTTGAATTTTTTTTTTTAAAAAAAAAACAGGTAACCAAAGCACCTCTATCAATCAAAAAGCTAAAGGTAAAAGACTCCCTGTGGATTTTATTCTGCTAGTCATTGCCAACTATAGGGGGCAGTGCTCGTTTCCCTTTCAAGGCCATTGAGCCAGCACTGTCTGAAGACATTTCCACCTCATGTGGCCAGCATGACAGAGCATCACAAGCATTCTTCGACAAGCACTTCACTACAAAATAAAGATTATTTTTAACAAAAACATTAAAATGTAGGGGTAGGGTTTTGCAAAATATTGCAAACTCAAAACTTGTTTTGAACTGGATAGTCTTACAAATCTGGATGTGTTCTCATTCTGAAATAATTCCTCTCCGACTTCAAAATATATCTATTTCAAGATTAGAATATTTCTGAAATGGCTAGAATAACCCACTACAAGCCTGAAACAACCACACAGCCCTATAAGCAGTTTTTTGGGTTCACAGGATATAAACATTAATATCTATTAATGCCTCAACTAGAGAAACTAATATCTGGCTGGTAATCAATAATATGTCTGTTTTTTATTGTTTATACATAGGATTTTTTTTTCTGTATCCCTATAAAAGAACATTGAATATAAAATCTATTTTTTTTTAAAAAAAAGTTTTTAGCTATTCAACGTTATTTTATAGGAAAATAGTATAGAAAACAAGTTTACATGCTGATTAATAGAAATCTTTATGAACTAATATTTTAGCCAAAGCTATCTATTTTTTAAAAAAAATGATACTAGTTCCTTGTATTTGGGAAAATAAATTAAAACCTAATGAGTATTATAAATATTATAAATTATAATGAATAAAAGTAACTTAAACGGTATTGAAAACTTACATGTTACATTATTCAATGCCAGTAACATGTCTCTATGTGCAGTTGGTAGACTTGAAGTATTTTAGCAGAAGGTGAAACAAAGACAGATGCTTTCTATACTTTACTTAAATCTTAAGGATGGCTTTTGTTGTTTACATATTCTAAGAAAGCAGTTGTGTTTCAAAGTTATCTAATTGACTTCTGCCCCATCTCTATTGGTTCACTTTGCATATGAGAATGTAAAATCAACAGGGACAGAAAACAGTCCTTGATGCTGCTGAACATGGTGCTGAAACAGAGTGAATAGAACTGATTGAAATATATTTTCTGCTAATATAGAAAATTAGCAGAAAAACAATCCAAATTCTCTTCACAAATCATATTGGGCTTCCCCTTGTTAAAATTCCTAATGAATGTCAATCTTAATGTATACTACCATACTTGCAGATAGCATTGTACAGGAAATTTATAAGTAGATGATAATTGTGCCTAGATTTTTTTATTCATTTGAAATTATTTCAACATATAGAATAAACAATTATACATTTAACAAGAGTAAACACAAGTTCAAATGGTCACAAGCTCTATTAAAAGACACACCACTGTATTTTCTAAATCAACAACTGCTTATTTTGAAAATTATTATGAAGATGTTCTTTGGAATGTACAGGAGCCCCACAAGGCCTCTTTAAAGAAGAAGCATCTTCCTTATAAGCTTGAGAAAGTCACAGCTGCTTTAATGGGTTGTATGAAAAACTCACTGTACTGGTACTTCTGTACCTTCCAAAGCAATTTTTCCAAATCATTTTCAAAACATGATCTGTATGTTTTGGACTATAACTCTGACAAGACATGGTTAGCACTGTCAATAGACAGCTATTTTAAAGGTGGTTTTACAAAACACTAACCACACAAATCCTTGCTAACAGTTTGAGAATATTCTGCTATAGAAGAAAAGAGTTTACTTCCAAGATATTGCAGATAGGGTATGCTGCCTATTCCAATCCATTATCCCCCACATGGTGTTTTATGTTTCTTTTGTTTTTAAACAGCATTAGGTTTTGTTTCTTAATTTTACGGAAACAGATTTAATTAGCCTGAGTAAAATCAGAAGCAGCTCATGATTCTACAATATTGTTGAAGTCAAACATGTCTAGGAAATATTTGTATGGAAAAACACCAAGGAATCTTAGTTAAGCTGCCTTAAATTCAAAGAAAAGATATATAAATGAAATCAGTTTCTTATTTCAAAGGGAAATAAAAGGCAAAAATAAAGATTTGTTTCAAATGTAAGTATAAACAATAGCAGCTACAGATGTGACGACCTGTAAAAAAATACAGGAAAAAAGATGAAAAACTGAAATGAAAATTTTGCAGTACAGTGGGGGAAAATCTTATTATTCAATATTTTCTATTTTAGAATGACTAAATGCTTAAAAAATTGTTCACAGTCCACAGGATGAACATTTGTATATACAAACCAATCTGCAATATTTGTTAATATTTTCACCTAAATACAGGTATCAATGTTTTCCATGGCATATAAAGTATGCACTTTTTTCATACTGGCCATATATAAAATGGTTCCTGTCTAAAATATTTATCTTATTTATTATGAATTTGGGGTTTTATTAAGGAACCTTCTTTTCTTGCCAAGCTTAAAAATTAATTAAATCAAATGATCTGTAGACAAAATGATTTTTTTTTCCAAAATCTGTAAATGTTTTTCTACTAGATCTAGCCACATTATATACCATTAAAACAAAGTGATCACATAAATCAGATTATAATCCTTAAAAAAAATCCAGCCAATTGATTAAGTATCACACCTACTATAGTACAACTTGAAGGGCTGGCATTGAGAAATTCTGAATAGCTTAAGGCAAACAGTTCAAACTTGGATTGTTAATATTCCTTGTTAATATTCCTTGACTCACAATAAGTTCATTATTATTTTTTGTTTCACATAAGTTTTTTTTATCAAACTAACAATTACAGTTTGTAAATCATAATGTACTTATGAATCTAGGGTTAAGGCAGATGGGGTAGCTGAATTATTCAATCCTATAAATGTACACTTGAATGTAAACTCACAAAGGTTGAATCTCATTAATCTCATTAAATGCAATTTTAGGCATGTTTAGCCAAAAGTAAAACCCATTAAATCTAATAGTGCTTATTCCATAGTGGCAGAACCTAAATGCAGGCAAAAACAGAATTATAGTACAACCCTATAGCTGTCTATTCAAAAGTAAACTTGATTTAAGTAAAATTTAATGAAGTTTCTTCAGATTACAACACTCTACTTGTGTATGTTGTGGTAAGCTAATTTACATATTTTAGGACAATATTAACCGCAAATGATATTTATAGAAGCTCTCTGTACACTTGAAAGCACCTAAAACATACATGAAGTCTTTTGTTTTCAAAAATAAAAATTAAATGTTTATAATATTTCATTTCTACTTGATGTGTGTTTTTTGTTTATGGCCTAATCCAATTAATATTCTCTGAGAAGCAATTTCCATGGCTTTCAATGTGACTTACTCTGAAGTAAGTATTTGTAATTATCACCCTTTTAGCTTTTGTGTTTACTTAAAAGTAAATCCACCAGGTTCAATACAACATAACCAGTAATTCAATATTATGTCTGCATTTGTACAACACACCCATAGTTAAATGAACCATGGTTTAAATTTTCTAAATTCAAGATAAACTGAACTATGAATTAATCACAGAAGCTGGGTTCATATAACAAACCAATTAATCATAGAAGCTGGGTTCATATAACAAACCAAGCTAAAAGTCTGTGATTTAACATATCATCTAAACAGCCTACATATAATCTCATGACTGTAAAAATCTTCTTGCAAACTGATCTTAAAAATGGTAGCACACAAATCATAAAACAAATGTGTGTTATTTTCTCTTTTTACAACTCTCCCAAAAGTTAATTTTTCAGTTATCAAATCCATTTGCTTAATAAAATAGTATAATATTTGCACAATGGAAGCAAAGTAAACAATATTTATGTTCAGGAAATAGATAACCCTCCTTTTCTTAGCAACCTGTTTCCTATTATCTCCATATTATTATTTTTTTCAAATTAACCAAAATAAATTAAATAGCCTGTGTTATTAATTCAGCAGTTTTGATTGGTTGAAATTAAGTCACTCCCCCCCATTTAGCAGACTACTCCGCATATATAGCAGAACTCCTAAGCTATCCTTTTCTCAGGAGTTGTGCGTGTGCTGCTTTCCCCAAGGCTAGGGGAGATGCAGAGTTTTTTTTTTTTTTAGGCCTCTTCCATCATCCGGAGTGTTGCTGTCTCCTTAGCCCAAACACAACCTAAGTAAGCCAAGACTAACACACTGGATCTTAAGGGTTGGGTGCAGCAGACCCCAACCTTCATCTGCGGTGTACACACGCTCTATAATGTAAGCTAGCACAACTGTATTTGTGGGGAGAGTGTTGGGGGAAAATATACCCCTGGAAGGGGGAGGTATTTAAAAGGGGTAGAAAATGGGGTGGAGAAGAAATTGGGGGGGAAGGGGAAAAAGCTAGCTAAGCGGGTGGTAAAAACCCAGAAAAACAAGGCAAGCTTGCCGTTTCGTTTTTCCCTCCTTAATTCCGGCCCTGCTTCGTGCTATACCATCATCAGAACAGTGACTCTCCAGTGGAAGTAGGAAGACGGCCCCCCCACCCGCTCCACTTTTCTTCCTCCCTCGAACAGCCTCCCGTTTCCCCCAACGGCATCTAGGCCTCTCTTCCACCCTAGTAGTATTGCCGAAGAACGGCAGCAACCGCGGCACCCCTCCCTGATCTCGGGCGACAAAAGCCTCTTCCCCCGCATCCCCTCCTCGGAGTCCCAAGACAGACCTCGCTATTAAAAGCTTTCACGGCCTCCATGTTGTGTGGCGGAGGAAAAGGCTTAGAACCGCGCCGAAAGGGGGTTGTTCTCCGCTGGGGTGACGGCGGTCGGCTTCTTTCACGGGCCACCGGGCCTCGTCGCCATGACGGGGTAGCGGAGGGTTAGGGGGGCGGACGGGTCGGGGAAAGGGGGGCTCCTCCCAACTCCGCTGGGCCGCCCCAGGGCAGGCTCGGCTGGCGCTGCAGGGACAAACACGCAATAGCTGCGGCGCGGGCACCAATATGGCGGGCGGGAGGGCTCTTCGCTCGGCAGCGGCGTAGTTCCCTCCGAGAGCAGCCGAGACGCGGGCCAGAGCGGCTCCTAGCAGGCGAGCCCGAGCCGTGGAGAGGCGCGGCGGCCACCAGCGAGCTAGCGGGCAAGAGTGTCTTTTAGGGTTGTCTCCTGGTACCCTAGCGAGGGCTCCGCGAGAGAACGAACTCCCCTCGCAGGAGAAGGGGCGGTCCTGCGGCGGGGTGAGGGATGGCAATACCGGGGTGCGGCGGCCGCCCCCCCTCCTCTCCGACCCGGAGAACGGGTAAAATCGGGAAAGCGAATGGAGTCCTATGCTTTATTTAGCGGTTGAGCCTACTCGAAGATAAAATTGCTGCTTTCTTGTGGATATGCAGGGGAATCTTACTGAAAAGTTGTATGCATAGGAAACAAAGCCTTTCTTACTGAAATATCTTAAACGGCGTTTCGGAAATGGATACTTGCCCTTGCTTGAGGGAACTGGGTTAGCATCGATTATGTATCTCCTACCCCTTTGGTAAAATATTTTACTTGCTTTTGCTTAATCTATCAAAAATCCAAAGTCTGTAAATTTGTTCTCATCCTCTGCCTCGTTTCCTTCTGCAAACCTGTGTAGCCTTAATTTGGGGAAGGGTTGTTAATACAGTTCTAAAATTTAATAAAACCAAACAAAACGCAGCAATCAGTTAACTTACTTAAAAAAAATTTTGAAACTGGCCAACAGCCCTAGACCTCCTGGGTATTTAGGTGCTCACCAGGATGGGTTCTATTCAGCTTGCCATTTGTTGAACTCTACCTAAGTCAGCTCTACATATGTACCCAGTAAATTGTTCATCAGAAACTAGGCATAGCTTTAAGCTAGTATAATTGATTGATAATGGTGCTTAAGAAATGGCCAAAAACATAAGATACTACTGAAGCATAGAAGTGAGGAACCTGTGGCCTTCCTGCCACAGTTGAAATCTAATTTTAAACCTTTTTCTCAACTACTCATAGATAATAATAATAATAATAATAATAATAATAATAATAATAATAAAGTTGGAAGGGACCTTGGAGATCATCTAGCCCAACCCCCTGCTCAGGCAGGAATCCCTATACCATTTCAGACAAATGGCTGTCCAGTTTCTTCTTAAAGACTTCCAGTGTTGGAGCATTCACCTCTTCTGGAGGCAGGTTGTTTCACTGGTTAATTGTTCTAACTGTCAGGAAGTTTCTCCTTAGTTCTAGGTTGCTTTCCCCCTTGATTAGTTTCCATCTGTTGCTTCTTGTCCTGCCTTCAGGCTCCTTGGAAAATAGCTTGACTCCCTCTTTGTGGCAGCCCCTGAGATATTGGAACACTGCTATCATGTCCCCCCTCATCCTTCTCTTCATTAAACTAGACATACCCAATTCCAGCAGCCGCTGCTTATATGCTTTAGCCTCCAGTCCCCTAATCATCTTTGTTGCTCTTCTCTGTACTCTTTCTAGAGTCTCAACATCTTTTTTACATCGTGGTGACCAAAACTGGATGCAGTATTCCAAGTGTGGCCTTATCAAGGCATTGTAAAGTGGTATTAAGAGTTCACATGATCTTGATTCTATCCCTCTGTTAATGCAGCCTAGCACTGTGTTGGCCTTTTTGGCAGCTGCAGCAAACTGCTGGCTGATATTTAAGTGATTGTCCACTAGGACTCCAAGGTCCCTCTCACAGTTACTACTATTAAGCAAGGTACCCCTTATACTATACCTGTACATTTGGTTTTTCTTGCCTAAATGTAGAATCTTGCATTTTTCACCATTGAATTTCATTTTGTTAGATAGTGACCAATGTTCAAGTCTGTCCAGATCCTTCTGTATCTGAAGCCTGTCTTCTGGAGTGTTGGCTATTCCTGCCAGCTTGGTGTTGTCTGCAAACTTGATGAGTTCCCTATCTATCCCCTCATCCAAATCGTTGATGAAGATGCTAAAGAGCACTGGGCCCAGAACAGAGCCCTGGAGCACCCCACTACACACTTCATGTAGATGCAGTTCCATTGAGGACCACACGGCTGATCAGCCAGCTACGGATCCATCTGGTGATGATGCTGTCTACTCCACATTTTTCTATCTTGTCAAGTAGTAGGTTGTGATCTACTTTATCAAATGCCTTACTGAAGTCCAAGTAAATTATATCCATAGCATTCCTCTGATCCACTAATTTTGTCATTTGGTCAAAGAATGCAATAAGATTTGTCTGACATGATCTGTTTTTGACAAACCATGTTGGCTTTTAGTAATGACTTTGTTTGCCTCTAGGTGTTTGCTGATTCGTTGTTTGATTATCTTTTCCAGGATCTTCCCAGGTAAGATCAGGCTGATAGGTCTGTAATTTCCTGGGTCCATTTTGTTTCCTTTTTTGAAGTTTTTTGAAGTTTTGATGTTAAGACTAAAAGACATTCCGCAAAAAACCATCTAGAATCTAGAATGATCACTTGCTTGTCCCACTTGATGCATCAGATGCACTTCAAGCTACTCTATTGTTATTAAGAAAAAAGTCATTTGATACTACTAGTAACAGAAGATTCAGTTATCAGCCCAACTGGTTTCTGTACATAAATGGAGTAAAGAGTCCTATCTTACATCTGCTTGGACCAGCAAATTATCTTTGGCCAGCCAAAATAGTATATTCTATGCCATAATAGCTAAATAGTGTAACAATCAGACCCAAGCTAAGAACTGGATTCAAGATCATCCAGTTGATAAATGCTTTACTATCATATGAGTAATTTACCTACTCTCATTTCCTACTTGAATTAAGGATTCAGCAGGATTGTAAACATGTTTATTAGAGAATACACTCTGTTGCATACATCTGTGTTTTTTTTTCCTAAATAAAGATTACACCAACAATTTTACAGGCAAACCTCTCACAATCTGCAGCAGGGGAATAATGTAAGGCCATCTTTCATGGTTGTTGAGTAGATTATTGACAATGTATGGAAAAAATCCTTAATCATTGATTTACTCTTTATTTGCTGAGCATCATGGTGGCCTAGAGGTGAAGACATTCACCTCACATTCTGGAGGTTGCAAGTTCAATCCTAGGCAGTGATAGATTTTTCTCTATCAGGAAGAGCATCCAGCCAGTAAAAGATCAGTTCCGTTCAGTCATCCTGATTCCAACCCAATAAAAAGGATTATAGGGTCGTAAAAAGAAAAAATAACTACTGTTTATTTGCTAGATTTATGTCCTGTTTTTCTTATATAACACTGCCTCTAATTCCCCCCTCCCCCCACAACTCTGAGGTAGGTTGGGCTAAGAATGATTGTTGTAGCTTACATCTTCCTGAATCTGGATCTCAGCAGTTCTAGTTTTATCATCTTAATCATTAATATCATACTAGGGTATAAAATACAATATTTTATGTTATTTTAGATCTAGATAATACTGTAGGGACATTGATGAAGATAATACAGAATATTTTAAATATTTCATCTGGAGAACAACAGCACCATCTAGTGAATATCTCTGTGGACAGCAATAAAATGTTTATTATACTGAATTTATTATACTATTATTGCATTACAAATTTGATGCCTTTCAAGTTTCAGTATAGTCTATATTGGAACTAAAGGTTTTCAGAAACAATAGCAAAAGAATGAATATACAGCACTTTTCTAGTTTACCTCTTTGTTAAGGAGAAATTATGAAAATTGTTGATTTATCTACATAAAAAATGGAAGGTAAGAAGGCATTATAATTCCATAATTCAGAGCAAGAATGACAAGGAGGAATCCTTTTCCTAATTCAGTTTTGGACTTTAGTCACTTGAAAGTGCACAGAAGACAGTGGTTCATAAAATGGTATTACAGATTGTAAACTAGAATATTTTCTGATTGGAACAGTATATAAACCTTAGTAAATAAATAAACAAAAGTTTGCTGCCATTTCATTTCAAGCAATGATGGGAAGGAAACAATTTTTCTGGCATTTTCAATTAAAGTTATTGCTCTAAGGAATACAAAAACATTTAATATGAGATATTTACTCTTCAACATCTTCATCAACGATTTGGACGAGGGGATAGATAGGGAAATCATCAAATTTGCAGACGACACCAAGCTGGCAGGAATAGCCAACACTCCAGAAGACAAGCTTAAGATACAGGAGGATCTGGACAGACCTGAACACTGGGCACTATCTAACAAAATGAAATTCAATGGTGAAAAAAGCAAGGTTCTACATTTAGGCAAGAAAAACCAAATGCACAGGTATAGTATAGGGGGTACCTTGCTCAATAGTAGTAACTGTGAGAGGGACCTCGGAGTCCGAGTGGACAATCACCTAAATATGAACCAGCAGTGTGCTGCAGCTGCCAAAAAGGCCAACACAGTGTAGGTTGCATTAACAGAGGGATATAATCAAGATCATGTGAACTGTTAATACCATTTTACAATGCCTTGGTAAGGCCACACTTGGAATACTGCATGCAGTTTTGGTCACCACGATGTAAAAAAGATGTTGAGACTCTAGAAATTAGAGTACAGAGAAGAGCAACAAAAATGATTAGGGGACTGGAGGCTAAAACATATAAGGAAAGACTGCTGGAATTGGGTCTAGTTTAATGAAGAGAAGGATGAGGGGGGGACATGATAGCAGTATTCCAATATCTCAGGGGCTGCCACAAAGAAGAGGGAGTCAAGCTATTTTCCAAGGCGCCTGAAGGCAGGACAAGAAGCAGTGGATGGAAACTAATCAAGGAGAGAAGCAACCTAGAACTAAGGAGAAACTTCCTGACAGTTAGAACAATTAACCAGTGAAACAACCTGCCTCCAGAAGCAGTGACTGCTCCAACACGGGAAATTTTTAAGAAGAAACTGGACAGCCATTTGTCTGAAATGGTATAGGGTTTCCTGCCTGAGCAGGGAGTTGGACTAGATGACCTCCAAGGTTCCTTCCAACTTTATTA